CACGTGACAACTAAACCCTGACCCATTACCCTTTCCATCCAGGATGCTTAGCTAGTAATTGTTAACTGTGAATATGGCACACATGAGTATGATATACTAAAAGGGAGAAATGATATGAAAATAATTGGCACATTTGTCGTGCTGGACTTTTAGCACACCCAGTTAAGGTGGTCAGTTAAGAAATCTCGGGAAGCACACAATTTTGTTTAGTGCTGTGGCCTGTAGTTCCCATTTGCTGGGTTCATTCAAAATCACACACATACACACATATGGAGAGCGACAGACAAACAATCACCAGGACTACTAGATAAGGTATGAAAGGTGCATGCGCTGAACATGACAGAAGCTCCACAATAACCTGCACTCTGCGCTGACAGTAGAAATAATGCAGCATAAATATGGGTATACTGTATGTCTTTACAACAAGCTTGCTGTCTTAAAAGCTTGAATGCAGCACATGATATCCAGAGGCGTGACTACAATTTATAGGGTCCCATAGCAAAATATTTTTGAGGTCCTCCATCAACCTCTCTATATAGCACCTTGCAGGGTTCATTGGGACAATCGTATAATTGATCTTAAAGTGTATGTCTAGCCCAAATATTATTTTTTAGTTTTGGATGGCATGGGAAGGAGTAGAACTCCTGTCTGTTTTTTCTCCAATCTGGGGCTTTGTTAGTGAGGTTTCTCACAATTCCTGTCCTGCTAAAAATGTTTTACCAGAAATGAAGTGGGGAACTCTACTACATCAGCAGAGACAGAGACAAAAATGTTTTGCTTTAGTAGAGTAGAGGAATGCTAGAGCCCCTATGAGATTCGTATTTCTGTCTGTTGCAGATTCTCTCTTACTTCCTCTTTGGTAAAACATTGTCAGCAGAACAGGAAGTGAAGGTAAATCTCACTAAACAGTGTAGCGTTTACATCTGTGAGCCCTCCCCTTCCTCTTACAACAGAGGATGGAGAGGGAACAGAAACTAACAAATGAATTACTAATTAATTAGTTCTTGAACACAGGAGACATCACTGCTGCAGCAGCTCCAAATACATTTTACCACTTTCACTACTGATCTCCAGCCTGTGTCTATGTGATTTGTATATTAAATCCCTTCACCTTCCTTATCCTGAAAATCTGCACATTAACCCATTTATCTCCATCCTCCCACTGTATGTGACCTGTACATTACTCCTTCACCACCTCCTCTCTCTGTGTATGAGATGTATGAGTGGTATCTAGTGCTCTATGTTTTAACCCCCTCAATGCCAGCGTGTTTCCTGATTTCCAACAAATTGTGGCAAAAAATTATATCACCTTAGTGTGTCTACTTTCCAAAAGGGTAATTGTAAAGGTGTGTGCACTGTCTTGGCATTTTTCATTTCAAAAGAAATGAAGGGAGACATTTATTTTTAAAATGTGTTTTTTTCAATTTACTGTATAGTATAAAAAAAATTAAAAAGTGGTAATTAAATACCATCAAAAGAAACCACTATCTGTCTCAATAAAATATATAACATTTATGTGGGTATATTGATGCATGATAGAGAAATTGTCAGTCAAAGTATTACAGCACTGGAAACTGGAAAATGGCCTTCCAATGAAGGGGTAATACAGGTGGATACTCAAGTGGTTAAAATACTGCTCTAAATAGTATAATCTGTTCAGCAAACCATTCTGACTGGGTGTTGGATAAAGCCCAGGTTGCATGAGTATCTGTTGATGTACCGTGTTACAAAATGTAACATTGACTTATGTCAAGGAACATCTACTCCTGATAACCCATAAAAAGAAATGAAGTAAACATTGACTTGATTTGCATACCTGTGTTATAATGCTTTGTACAGTAACGTAAATCTTTTTCTTCTTTTAGAACAAACTGTGGAAGGGTCAGCCCATCTGCAAGCTGCACAGGTGCATTGTCTTGCCACTCAAAAATAAGATCATTCATTGTGTATCCAACTGGAAGACACGTATTCACCATTTACAGAGAAGAATGTACAAAAATCAAGATAAATTAAATAACAATAATTAATTGTACTTTCTACATTGAAAATAAAACCCTATTATGTTTATTATATTGTATTCAAATAGAAAACAAGATCTGTCTCATTATTAATGATAGTGTAGTGTTATCTGAGGCAGATTTTCAGGTTCCTTGGACAATGCCTCAGAATTATGTACATGACTTCATAGAAATTACTTTGATATTCAATAGTATGGTGTGTATTCAATTGAAAACAGCTGTGGGTAATACTGATTATCATTTGAAGCATGTCAACTGTTGCCAGAAGAAATATCCCAAATTCAAAGACATTAATCTGACAAGAAACAACTGCTATGTCAAAATCTGTTCAACCAAAGTGAATGTGATCATCTAAGATTCACAATTCATTATACAAGTTTCTCTGTCAAAACTTGGTTTGCTATAACTTCTTAGATCAATGGTAAAAATAGATTTCACTAACAATATTTTATACTATATTTAGGTGTAATCCTTCTTTGAAAATATGTTTCAATTATAACTGTTTTTTTCCCCAACAGACTGGGTTGAAATCTGTTTTCTGCTGTCTGGGGAGAATTTCCTTTACTTCCCACAAGAAATCAGTTGTGGTTGTCACCGGGACAGGCCATTGTCAAAAGTTCTAACCCTTCCTAACTCTACTAAAATTGTGTTTCTGTATCTATTGGAAAGTTTTGGACAGGAAGTGGAGGGGGGTTGGGTCAACCTGAAAGTGACACAGATGATAATAAATAACTGGCACAGTCTTTAACCCTCTAACCTCTGTCCAAAGTGAAATACATTTTTTTTTCTGGATTAGGTGTTTTGTTACTTTATGCACTTTACTATTTACCTATCTTTAACTGGACTGAAATTGTTCCACTTTTTCTGTCTGTGGTTATGACACAGAGCTGCTCTCCATAGTGCCATTAATGGGATTCTCACATAGCTTAACAATGATCTTTATATGTGTGCACCTTATTGAGTGTAAATAAGGAAAGAACAGGCTCACACCAAGAGAGTTATTCACTATTGAGCTGAAGGATCTAGCTGTAGCTTCGGCTGATCCTTCAGCTTGCTTCAGCCGCCGGAGCCCTTCATTTCACGTGAACTGAAGGGCTGCTGTACTGGCTATTCACAAGGGCCCGTACAGCAGCCGAAGGCAGCTGAGCAGCTCAGCCGAGTCGAAGGCATATGCCGACCGTTCTCCCGGCAAAAGACAACAGCTGGGCGGAGCCAGCCATAGTGTCACAGCCAGTTGTGATGGCATGGCTGGCTCCGCCCATGTATTTTGATTTGTCCAGGACCTGTGGGCAGAGTGTCAAGGTGCCTGACAAATGTAAACAGTTGGGTGGAGCTAGCGGGGATGTGACTGCCAGCTCCGCCCAAATGTTTATATGTTGTTTTGATTTTTTCTAAAGTCTGGCGTCTTTTTTAAACTTTTAATTTAACTCTTTAGTGAATGGGTACAACTACCCATTACTCATTCACAAGGGGAGGGCTGCATCTGGGTGCCCCTTTATTAAAGGGGTCCGTGATGTGAATAAGCCCCCCTGCCCGCACCCCCACAACCAGTGCCCCAGGGCTTGTGGGGAAGAGGTCCTTGTCCCCATCGCCATGGGGACAAGGTGATTTTCCAGGGGGGACCCTGGAAAAGCACTTTCACAGTGCAGAGGGCATGTGGCCTGGTATGGCAGGGAGGGGGGCACTCACTTGTTCCCCCTTTCCTGCCCTGCCAGGCCTGTGATCAAGGGTCTGGTGGGCAATTTTAGGGGGACCCCACACTTTTTTCCTCCCATTTTTGTGGATGGGGTTCCTCCTTAAAATTCCTACCAAACCTTAGGGACTGGTGTTACTTTGGGGGAACCCATGCACTTTTTTTATTTTTAACTTGGGGTCCTTCCTTAAAATTCCTACCAGACCTGAAGGGGAGTACCCCACATATTTTTTTCTTTTTGTTTTAAATAAGGGTCCCTCATAACATTCCTGCCAGACCTAAAGGGTCTGGTATTGTTTGGGAGGGGGACCCCATGCAGTTTTTTCCTTTTCTTTTCTTAAACATTTTTTTTTCTTTTCTTAATTTTTTTAATTTTTAATTTTTTTTACATTTATTTATATAATTTTGTTTAAATGTTCATTTGTTTATATTTTTTTCTATTCTGCTTGCTACTTCGGAGGTAGTGAGCAAAATAACTGAGCCGACTGCTGCTCGGAGGCATTCGGCTATTCACTCACTGCCGTTCGGCCCCTATAAGAATAGGGGCGAACGACAGCGAGAGAACTGCCAGAGCTTCGGCTCAGCTGACCCAGATGTTGGATCGGCTGTGTTGAACTCCTTCTGCACTTCAGTTAAGCTGAATATGCTGAGCATGTTTGGCTGTCCAAAGGCAGTCGAAGGCAGCCGATGTATGGCTGATTGTAGCCAATGTACGGCTGAAATCAGCCGTACTGAGCTGAAGTGAATAGCCGAACGTCTTTCAGCTCACTTCACATCGGCTCAGTTTTTCACTCGGCTGCCTTCGGCTTTGTGAATAACCCTCTAAGTTGATACTACTTCACTATCACATGTGCCCTGCACTCTGACATGTGTTTTGCCGTGGTGTTGAATGGGCTCTTGCAAGGCAGCAAATTATCATTACAGATATTTATAAATAATTTACAGAGTGCTTTACATATTGTAGCTTCACATCAGTCCCTGCCCTACAAGAGTTTGTAATTTAAACTCCATACCTCACAATACTAGGGCCAATTTAGAGAGGAGCCAATTAACCAACCATTTTGCTAAAATTTCATGGAAACATGCAGGGAAAGAACCTTTGCAGAAGACCAGAAATGCAAAGCAAGACATTCGCAAACAAGCGTGTTTTAATAAACGGGCAAATTCATGAATTTTCAAACACACTACAGACTAATTAAGGCTAAGTTTGTGTCTAATATGTACTTTTTGTTACTGTCCCTAAGTTTCTAAAGTCAGCTGACTAATTTACTCTTTGCATTAGATTGTCTTATGAAATAAATTGGCCTTCATAACAGAATGAAGTTAATGTATAATGTAACCTCCATAACTAATTAAACTATGATAGTATGCAGAGCAAGGGATTTATAAAATGTATCTATTAAGTGTCAGAAAGGAAGTTTTCCCTCTGAAACTACATAATGGTTTAGAAATGCTTTTGCTTTCCCCTGAATCAACAAGTGTTTTTAAAGATGTAACAATTGTTTTTCAGTACAAAGGTTGAACTACACTGGTATATGTATTTTTACTAGAGATGCACTGATACTAGAATCAGTATCGGTGCCGATACCAAGTACTCATACTTGCCCAAATGCTCCCGATGCGTATCCCGATACCGAAACTTCCGGTATCAGGAAGCCGGGCAGCAAGACATTACATGTTGCCAGGCTTCCTGATTGGCCGGGAAGTCAGCTCCATGCTCCCTTGTCGATGAGGGAGGATGGAGCCGGCTTCCCGGCCAATCAGGAAGCCGGGCAGCGTGTAATGACTCGCCGACCAGCTTCCTGATTGGTCAGGAAGCTGACCAATCAGGAAAGCAAAACATAGACTCATTACCTGCCCCCTGGCTTCCTGATTGGCCAGGAAGCCGGTTTCTTGCTCCCTCATCACCTGGTGATGAGGGAGCATGGAGCCGGCTCCCCGGCCACTCAGGAAGCTGGACGGCATGTAATGACTCGCCGCCCAGCTATCTGATTGATCGGGAAGTTGGCCAATCAGGAAAGCAGAGCAGCAAGTCATTACCCGCTCCCTGGCTTCCTGATTGGCTAGAAAGCTGACTCCATGCGCCCTCATCACCTGGTGACGAGGGAGCATGGAGACGGCTTCCATGCTAATCAGGAAGCCGGGTGGTGAGTCATTACATGCCCCCCGGCTTCCTTAATGGGACTTCTGGTATGGATATTCAGTATCGGCGAGTACTGAAAAAAAATATCGGTACTCTATACAGAAAAAACGGTTTCAGTGCATCCCTAATTTTTACAATATATCTTATCATAATATAAAACATTACTATGTAGCACAACAAAATGCAATGTGTTACAGTAGCTCTTAATCACATATATACAATTTTAATAAATCATTGTATTATTATAAATGTCTAAAACTAAAATATTAAATCATATTGAAAACATATGAAAAATGTACTATATAGTTACTATTCATATTAATACAACAGGAACAATATGTGTTCAGGCGTTCAGGTCAGTGATGGCAGTTATCTAATCTATAAAATCTTAACTGTACAAAAAAAGCACAATGTGTGAATTTAGATATAATTTCTTGTTACTTACAGCTCTCCAACTGCATAATACAAGTCTGAACATCCATAGGGAAATTTTTCAGATCCATAGGACAGGATAATGTAAGTGTCAATCTAAATAAATAAATACATTCACATACATGTGTTGACATTAGATACATATATTTATATATTTTAAAACATAAGCTTTTCATTGCGTTAGGAAAGGTTGAATATAAGCACTGGTGCTAAAATCCCTAAAGCAACTCCATCACTTATACAACAACAACAAAAAAGCTTTTAGCAAGTATTAAGTGCAGGCTCCCTAACCATTCCACATTCCACACATTCCCATCTTCCACACATTCCCATTGGCCAATTACTATAATACGACAGAACTGGCCAAGGAAATGGTGGAGGTTTGCCCCATGAAATCAGTCCAGTACTTGGACATAGCTGTGTAGACTGCAAGCTGCTGCAGCAATGTAATATTTATACCTTTTAAAGGTCATTTAAAAGTAATTTTAAAGGATGACCATGCAGTATAAAACAAACATTTAATCCACAAGAAATAATACCTAGAGGCCTTTAGATTATCTAAGAGACAGAGAATGATATGCACAAAACTGATAACATTATTGCAATCAACATAGTTCTCCAGAAAGACAATAAAACTCTACAACCAAAATTGCCAGGAAATTATATAGAGGAGGAAATCTCAGATGGCACTTTTTGATGGTTACATGGTGTAGAACAAGCAAAAAAAGATAATAATTAGGAATGGTTGAATCCATTTAAATGAAATTGGATCTCCAGCAAATGTGTTGTAATTGTCATTATTCCTGACATTACTCTGACAGGAAAAGCAACACATCTTGTATCCGGAGGTCTTTTGGTCACCTTTCTAGTTTACTACCTTATTGCAGAGTATGACAGCAGCACTTTGCCATCCTTTTGTAAATTCAAAACAAAGGCATCCTCATCATTAAGGATGAGCCGAACACCCCCGTGTTCGGTTCATATTCGAACGGCCGAAAAGTTCGGAATACGAACTCGACCTTAATGCAAGTGAATGGGGGTCAAACGTTTCAAAATGAATGTCCCCTTTAAGAGGGCTTATACAGGCAGTCCCCCAGTTACGGACCAACTGTACTTAACCGGGTCCACAGTTCTCCTAAATGTACTGTCAGCTGCCGATACATTTTGGAGAACTGTGGCTGCAGCGGCCTGTGTCCCTTCAAATCCCCGCTGCTCTCCGCGCCTGTGTTGGCAGAGACAGCGGGGACACAGGCCGCTGCATGCCTTCACTGCCCCCAGTACCTCCTCTGCTGTCCCAGCCTCCGGTCCCCTGGTCCGTCGGCTTCTTTTCTGATCCTGTCCGGCCGCGGCTCCTCTGCCCCGCCCCCCTGCCTCCTCTTCATTGCAGGATATTGTAAAATGCAATAGCCAATAGCAAGCTGGCTATTGCACCCGCCTACTGCCTGCTGTCAATCAGCATAGGGGACCTGATAGAGAACTTTCTCCTTCATGCCCCTCCTCTGCTTAGCCCTGATTGGGCAAAGTCTTGCACCTGACCACCATGAACATCCCACCACGAACATCCCATAAAGTTTGGCGTACGGCGAGCGTTCCAACTGCCGATATTCGATTCAAACTCATGTTCGAATCGAACACTTGGCTCATCCCTACTCATCATAATGTGAATGTCACATTAGAATTACTTTGGTGGTAATATGTACTTTTCTCACGCAGGGCAACGCAAGGGGATCATGTTTGTATTGGCTTCCCCAGCTGTTGGGAGTGAAGAGTGGAAGCCATGTGTAAGCTCCAAATCATGTCTTATCAGCTACACAGAGATGAGGACTCTATCCCTGCTTGCCATGTGACAATGCTGGGCTACTGAGAGGACAGTTACCTAGCACCAGCGCTACCACATTGTAGATTAGGGAATGATTCACATGCTCCCTCATGCTTGAAAGAACTGGGCAAATTGAGCAGCAGGGAAACCAAATGAAGGTATGTTTAAGCAGCTTTTAGGGCCAGCATTAAAATGGCCCTACTTTTTGTCCTGAAGTAATAATTAAAGCATGTGCTCACTGAAAGTATGCTATATTTTTCCTTTATTTATGAAAGCATCATATATTTGGAGCATAATTGTCGACATAATGCATACGTGCATTCACAATGGTTACAGAATGCATACAATATTATTAAAAGATATCAACCATTAACATTTTCACTGAACATTTGTATATTATTCTGCATTACATCAACAGCAACATTTAAAGCCTACTTCCAGTAGATTTGCAATCTTGCTAGTGATGCTAGTGAGCTTGAAATTAGGCTAATTGAAGAGGACTTCGACATAGTTGGTATAGCGGAAACCTGGCTGGACAGCACGCATGACTGGGCTACTAATATAGAGGGGTATAACCTGTTTAGGAGGGACAGAGGGGGGAGAAGGGGGGGGGATGTAACTAAAGGACAAACTGAATGGCATGCTTATGTTCCACTGTGTCTGTAAAGCTACAGGCTGCTCCTGACATTTCTCTTATAAAGACGCAGTTTTGGAGTGATGTCCTTTTAATGACCTTGGATAATTCTTGTTTAAGCGAGATTAATACGAATATATATA